GGGGCTATTTGAACGAGCTCGCTGTTGATCGAGTCAATTCGAGCCAATTTCGTGCACGGCGCGACATATAGAATTTGTCGGCACTCGTGACATCCAAAAATTGATGCCAACAATATAATAGGAAGTCTCAAACCAGAATCAATCTAACATAAAGTCCCAAAATAACATACTTAGTATGCATCCTGATTCTCATTAAAAGTAACGTAAATAATTAACCCAACAATCAGTTGGCATCAAAACAAAGAAATCTCGGCTAGTCGGATCTTTTAACAACTTCATTGAAAACAAATAAAGTGTCATGTCCTCATAAATTTCTGAAGTTTCTTGTAGCATTATCATAACCTGCGGAATAGAAGTTGCATGTGAGCTGTCAAACTCATTTGTACAAGAAACAACTAATTATGAAATCCGACATCTTAAGAATACTACATCATATTTTTATTCTTGTCAGCTCTAGGACATTTGAAACGACAAGTATATCCAACTTCATTTAGGATTGGATTGGATCCTTCATTTGAATCGGTAGTTTGTTTAGCATCTATAGGCTCAGTTATGTCAGCGTGTACTCTCTCACTAGGTGCCCATGCATGTCACCTATGGCCACGACTCCACCAAATATTAGGTTCAACTTTTCCTCAAGCTCAAGGTCAATGCCTCTAAAACTTCAACTTCTTGGCATTTGGCACGACCTACAAGTTAATATGTTATTATTGAGATGGCATCATAAAGAAAAACAAACTTGCAAAGCAACAAGCGTTGAATAACTTTTTCAACTCCAATATCTTATCTCACCATTCTTCTGAAGCATCAATGATTCACTTTATGGGATCCCAATCGAAGCCCATGGAACCTCACTTCAACTCTTTTCATATGTTCAATTTTTTTAGCTAATCACACTTGTTTTTCAGTTGCATTCTATCACATTCTCTTCCGGTACTTTTCTTAAAAAATTTTATAATATTTTGTCATCCTTACTTGTGAAAATAAGTGGTTGCCCAATGTCCCAAGTCAACCTCCCTCAGGCATAGATCGCAAAAGGTTAACTTTACTTCTTTATCCCACTGAGAGAACGATACAATTTCTTTTGACTTACCCATTACCACTACGAGCATGAAAAGAATCGATCAACATACTTTATCAAAACAAGTAGTTACTCTGAAATGCATTTATCAAACAATAACTTTAACTCATCAAAACATAAATCAACCAAAAAAACAATCCGCAACCCCACAACCCTTTCTCAACATTCAAACAAGTAGTGGCAAGAGATTCTGAAAGCACAAAAGAAACACTAAAAACAAAATGGAAGTTGAACTATGGAAAGCTCGTCATGTCACATGAGCATTATTAACTATGCAGTTTAATAACCATGAACAAATAAGCATTGCTGACACTTTTGCATTTAGGCATGGGGTCAACATCAACATCTATTAGTTCTATTTTTTATCTACAACAAACATAAGCAATGGCACCAAGTTTTATGCTTGTACAATTATATGAGTATTCGGTCCAAACACCCTTCATTTTAATAAACCTCAAACCAAAAAGAGTTAAAGAAGCATTGCGCATAGCATCAAAATCCAACTCTATTTAAGAAGATAGGTAATGCACAAACCATAAAGAAGAAAGGAAAATGAAAAGTCACAGTAAAAAAAGAGATCAAGCACCATAGCAATAGTAATCCAAGGCCATCACCAAAGAAAATTTGAAGCCACAAATATACCCTAAGTAACCAACAAGTAAGAGCCACAAATTCAAATGCTTTCCATTTTGACAACTTGATGATATCATTGCAAACTGAAGAAATAGCATCATCGTAACGGAATTTATCTTGAGAAACAACATGAATCTAAAGTCGTAAATTATAGGAGATAGTTGGTGCAACTGATTATGGAATCGATGATCAAGAAGAGTTATGAATGATAGAAAGGAGATTCAGTAGTCATGAGACCAACGAGAAGAGAAAGCAAAAGAGCCAAAGGGTTAATTCAAATCATTAAAAGGGGTAAAATAGGAAAAGTTGTGCTCAAACCTTCAGCTAGAGGAAGCAATTGTGATATCTACGGTGGTAGGATGCGACTGTCCATGTAGCAGTGAGCAAGAATCAAGCATAAGGAATGATCATAGGGTGTGTCGCAGGCAGCCGACGTGCATGCCAGGCTGCAAGGACACAAAAGGTCACATGATCACATGCTAAGCGAACATGCACTTAGAACAAACATGACTTGCATATGCTAGGAATGGAAATATACTGCAGGCACTAGAAATGAGTACAAAAAAGTAAGTCGAGGGTTGAAGAATGTTTATGCCAATGGGTCAGAAGAGTATACACATAAGGGTGGAAGGGAGGAACAGACAAGGATCATTATAGGGGTTGAAAAACCATGGAGTGGACCAAATTGGGCGAGTAAGGAGTGATCAACCCAGCTCAGATATCACATACGAGAAAAATTGTTCCCTTTAACAAGAGATCCTCTCGATATATAATTCAGGAATTAAGACAATGAGCCAGGCTTCAGCGATATAAACAACCTCCGCTAACTATTTAGAGTATTCCTTATGCTAACACATCATGTAAGCTTCAACGAAAGGAGAATGCATGGAGCTACTCCAAAATAGTTGGAATAACACTAAAGATCCCGATCATGAAGTTATTTGTATTAAAATGTCATTTTCTATTAAAATTATTGTTAGAAAGACAAAGGAATCAGATTTTAAGTTGCTTGAAAAATAGAATGTATTCATACAAGGGTTAAAAAATAAAACTCTTGTGAAACTGCTCGTATAAGGCCAGAATAACAAACCTGCATGTAGAATGTATTGAAGTCATTATATCCATCCCTGGATGGTAAACAAAAAAGTGCATTTGTTGAATAATTAGACATTACAATAACCGGGGTAAGAAAGTTTAGGGCATGATTTCCAGTAGCATATTCGAAGCACAAGCGAGCAATATTGAGCTTACTTCTTATACTGGGGTGCCTCTCTATCAAGACGTGCAAGAGTTCCGGCCAGAATTGAAACCTACAGAATAATTTCACTTAGAATAGGACAATCTTAAGAAAATACAGGTGATTAGACAATTATCTAAAAAGATAAGACACCAGCAGCCAATCACACAGTGCGTGTGAATGTAAGGCAATCAGGTACATGCAAAGCACCAAGTTTTAAAAAAATGGTTTGAACGACAAGCAAAAATCTAATACTCCTCAAAACAAGTTTTGGAAAAATGCAATACCACACCATGGTAGAAACTATGCAGCTAAAACCCAACTTGCACTGTATTTTCATGACAATTTGAAAGGGAATGAGACAGGTAGAAGAGCAAATGTAGTCAATATTCTATTTCAAAAATCATAACAAAATAACGTCTTGCATCAGATGAAAAGTCAAACATCAACTGCAATCAATGGTGGGAGAAGCGGTTAAATGGAGGTTTGCTTGTGTCTAAAAAATACGTTTTTATTATGAATCTCCTGTCAATTTTGCAGAGATGTCCAAAACAAACCAGAACATTACAACTTTGATTAGGTCAATTATTTCATAAAACCACATTTTGTAAAATTGTACGACAAAATTGGCCACGAATATAGACCAGACGTCCATAGAAAACTATAACCATCTGAATGTGAGAAAAGCAACTCACTGAAACGGCTACAAAAATATAAGATCTTTAGAACAAGATATTGAGTTAATCCTACATCCAAAAATAAATGACTTGATACAAAAGTATCACACATTTTGAGGCAAATATTCAACAATATCTAGCATTACATGGAACTTGTAAGCAGTGTGATGCAGCCAGCAAGTGACCTGATGCCAGTAACCAATAACTAATGCAGTGCTTGCCTTTTTTTATTTATTTTCCTTTGTTTTTTTGGTGTCTTATTATTCTGTTTACTTTCTTAGTTACTTAAATAGTAATGCTTGCATTTACTACTTTACCATTAGCAGGACCAATTAGCTGGGTCCTGATATATTTTGGTTAGCTATAGACAAAAAATAGGAGATTTGGAGAATATATTCGGTTACAAATTTCTGTATTGCTTTGTGCTATTCTCTGTTTTCCTTTTGTAGGCTGTTACGCCACAGTGTTCATCATTCACCCCGATGTCTAGATTTCCATGAATTATAATGTTAGAAAAACTATTGATAAAATAACCTTGGTTGACAACAACAAAAGGTGAAGAAGCCAAGCACCTACACCATTTAAAGGGTTAAAACTATACAATGAGTAATAATTTCAACTATTACACTCCCTTGCCCCAAATTATAGTTGATAAGACAACTGTACTCAATCAAATAATTCAAACATTGTTAGGCTACAATAATTCTCCAACTATGATGTTTTTCTACAGCCTCTCTCTTAAGATCTTTCTTTCACAAGATGAAACATCTATAAATAGGTAATTTTTCGGTTAGCTTTTTATTTTTCTTTGAAAAATCGTTCAATCAGCAGTATATTAAGTTGGTTAAAACATCGGAAGGATTTTTTCGTTAATTTTGTGCTATGGAGTAGAGTATAAAACAAAATTTGTCAAAAGATGAGTCAGTTGCTATCCAAATGGATTTCTGATGGTCAAGATTTATGAAACTTGGAGAGCGTGGGTATCAAGCTGGGCTCTATGCAACATATTTAATCCAAGAAATAATATTTCTTTCTGTCATGAATTCTGTTGAGATTTGGAATAAAACAGCATTATTCTCATTGATAAAAATAGGGGTATTTAAACACAATTACAATGGATTAAAATAAGAAAAGAAATAAAAACAAAATCAATGAAATAGAATCAGAATAAAGATTTAAAAAAAACTACATAATACAGAATAAGGGTAATTAATAAATAATAACGGCTATAGAAGGCATAAATCTAATCCTCCCCCTCAAGTTGAAGCATAAATATCAATCATGTTCAACTTGAATTTGAAATCATCTAAAAAAAGGCGAGGAAGATTCTTGGTGAGGATATCCACTAGTTAAATATTGGAGAGGAGAAAAGAACACAGATTTCCCCGGACTCAATCTTTTCCCTAATGAAGTTTTTGTCAATCTCCACATGTTTGGTACGATCATGTTGGACTGGATTGTAAGCAATGTTGATAGCGGCCTTATTATCACAGAATAGTTGTGGTTGGACAAAGGTCGGCATCAAAGGTGGACCCACAAATTCAAATTTTTACTTATATGGAAGATAATTTGATCCTTCACCCCTCCTGAAATATAAATTGTCCCTTCTGAAATATCACTCACTCCTTCGTTGATCTAGCCCCCCAAATGTTAGGTCTAGTGAGACTGGATGCCCCCCTCAACAAAAAAGACTAATTCCACCCCTGGTTGGCATACGAAGTTTATAAAGCATGATGCGTAAGGACATGGACCGAAAATCAACTTCAGCATTGGTTCGGGCAACCACATACTGTTTTTTTGTTTTCCATGTGACAAGATTTTTCCATACAAATGAGCAATGCCCCGAAGTGGAATGTCGATCGTGAATCGTGTCAGCCCAATCAGCATCTCTAAAAACAGTAATAAACTGAGAAGTGTGACGAGAAAAAAAAAACTTAAGTTTGGTGTACCTTCTAAATAGTGAAGAATCCGATAGACAACTTGGAGATGGTGCTTATAGGGGTCATGCATGAATTGACTCACTGCACCAACTGCGTGGCAAATCTGAAGCGAGTATGAGCGAGATAGATAAGTTTCCCCACAAGGCGTTAGTAGTGAGTCTTGTTGACAGGCACAACACTGGAAATATCGGACAATTTTTCATTGGAATCCATAAAGACAGCCACAGATTTACACAGAAGAAGATTGTTCTTTGTCAAGAGATCAATTACATATTTACCCTGAGGTAGGCAAATGTTCCGAGATGATCGAGCCACTTCTATGCCAGGATTACCGGAGGAAACCCAAGTCTTTTATTTTAAAGGAATTAGCAAAAATGTCTTTCAATGACTCCAATGCTAGGAGATCGTTACCTGTAAGAACAATATCGTCAACTTAGATAATAAGGATAGCTACCTAACCATTAGAGGAATATAAGAAGAAGAAAGTGTGGTCTGATTAAGCCTGAGAAAAACCATTACCCACAACCATCTTTGTGAGCTTGTCGAACCAAACCCTTAGGGGCTGCTTTAGCTCATAGAGGAACTTTCGCAGCATGCACACTCGTCATTTGGAGGCGATAGAGACAAAGTCAAGAGGGAGAGACATATATACCTCTTTTATAAGCTCTTCTCTCAAGAAAGCATTTTTTACATCTAGCTGGAATAAAGGCAAAATAATATTCACCGCAGGGATAATAGGACCCGAATAGTGTTTAACCTGGCCACTGAAGCAACTATCTCCTCATAGTCAACTTCGTAAGTCTATGAGTACCCTTTGACGACCAATTGTACCTTGTTGCGTTTAAAAGATCCATCAGAGTTAAAATTTGTGCTGAAAATCCATTGGCACGCCACAGCTTTCTTAACCTGAGAAAAATCAATCACTTCTCACGTACGATTCCGCCAAAGGGCATTCATCTCCTCCATTATTGTCATTTTTTAGGCTAGATCAGCAAGAGCAACCTCAATAGTAGCTGGAATCTCATTGTTCGTCGAGGCAGCAGCAAATCTTCTGTAGGTCGACGATAAACTACGGAAAGAAACATTTTGTCATAGAATAGAGGGAGTGTGTCAAATTAGATGTCTTACTCTGAGAACTCACCTCCTCATTAGAATAGGTCATGAAGAGGATATCGCCCGGAGTTGAGTCAGGGTCCTGTAAGGAGGAAGCGAGAATAGAGGGAGTGTGTCAAATTAGATGTCTTACTTTGAGAACTCACCTCCTCATTAGAATAGGTCATGATGAAAATATCGCTCGGAGTTGAGTCAGGGTCCTGTAAGGAGGAAGCAGGTTCCAGAGTATGAGCATTGGAACGGATGCGTCTGGTGTACACACAGAAAGTGGGAGGAGATGTTGCACTCAACGAATCGGGGGACTCACCAGATCATGCACTCAACGAATCGGGGGACTCACCAAAACAGGGTCTCCTCAAGGGCAGTAACAAGTAACAACAAAGAGAACATACATAGGAGTAGGATAAGGGACAGTGTCTAAGAACCTAAGCTCCCCCTCACTTGAGGTTGAGCAAGGAAAATGAGGAACACTTTCAAAGAATGAAACATCAGTACTCACATAAATTTTATTAGTGGTAGGATGAAAGCACAGATACCGCTTTTGAGTGGCAGAGTACACCAAGAAGATACATTTTATGGATTCGGGATCAAGTTTACTCTGATCGGGTGCAATGTTCCAAACAAAGGCAGTGCACCCAAAAACCTTGGGCCCAAAGGTGCAGAAGACCCAATTGGCAGAGAAGCATGACAACGGGACGGCTAAGGGTGTTCAAAACTTATAAATTTTACAGATGACTCTATTTATGAGATAGAAGAGAGTGAGAATGACATCGTTCCAAAAACGTTTCGCGCATTAGATTAAAACATAATTGAGCGAGCAACATCGAGGTGGCGGTTTTTTTCCTCTCGACCACCTCATTTTGTAGAGGAGTGTTTGCACGCGAGCTATGGTGAAGGATACCCTTACTCACCAAGAATTCACCCAAAATAAAGTTAAAAAACTCACAGCAACTGTCAGCCCAAAGGATCTGACTAGGAGTTTTGAATTAAGTTAAAATGAAGGTGTAAAAGTTTTGGAAGATAGCAACAACCTCATATTTGTCATTTAAAATGTAAACTCATGTCATTTGAGTGTGGCCATCAATCAAATCAAAAATCACTTTTTATTGGTGTAGCTGGGAGTGCGAGAGGGTCCTCATAGGTCACTGTGAATGAGAGACATGAGCAGAATGTGTGTAAGTGTAGGGTGTGTAATGGGTCCGATGATTGCTAATTGGTACGTCTTACAATTGTAATTAGAAATGTTTTTATTTGAAAACAACAAATAATATACTTTTTTTTAATATTGGAAACTATGACGACATAAACGACAATGCAGCAACATAATAGGACGTTTAATGACCCGAGATAAGCTACAACTCTTGAGAAGTGAGTACTCACTACCCATGCTCTTCTCTTGGAAGTAGTAGAGTCTGGCTAACCTCTTAGTAGTTTCAATCATTATCCTCAAACAACGATCCTAAAAAACACAATCATCAAAAGAGAAATTAGCAACACAATTAATATCATTCATCAACTTGCTGACAAATAACAAGTTATATAGCAACTGGGGAATATGTAAAGCTGACACCAAAGTTAGATCTGTTGTTAATACAATGGACCATTTACTGGCAATGGAACTAAATGAGTCATCGGCAATTCTGACGATATATTTTTCATAGCACGGATAGTAAGTCGAGAAAACTTGTGAGCAACCAATCATGTGATACATGACAGTTGAATCAATAATTCATGAACCAGAGATAGAATAAATCGTGAAATTCATGGGAAGAGTATTTTGTCGAACGTGGAAGGTTGAACGACCCGTAGAGACTTGATGACATATAAGAAGCATGATTAAATGCTCCATTTGGTTTTTCAGAGATTCAGAGGATTCTAGAATGTTCAGGGTAGAAGTCAGTTGAGTCATGGTAGGCCCAACCGTCGCTGCGAGACCCTTGATAGCAGAGGAATTAATTGAATGTTTGTATGTCGGCTTACCGTGAAGTCTCTAATACTTATCCTGAGTGTGGTTAGTTTTATGGTTATAAGCCATCAATTAATTCCGGTAGGATCAAGACACACGGATACAATTGCAAGAAATAAAATCTCTGCATAAATGACCGGCGTTGGACAACTGTCAGGACTCCATTCTGTAGAATCGGCGACAGCAAAGGTAGAGAAAGACTGCTTCACGGAAAGCGCTTCTACTGTAGGAATTTTGCTAGGATTATGAGCCAAATAAACAGGAATCCTGCTATAGGAATTCACAGTATCCAGGCTTCTGCAGGGATGTTGGACTGCTGTAGAAATGTGCCAAAGAAACAGCAAGAGATGCTGGAAGAACACTGCAGTAGAAGAGAATCCTTGCGAGAAGGAATCGCTTCCTGGATGGGAGTCCTTGCGAGAAGGAATTGCAACTTGCAAGAGAAGATTATACTTGTAAGAACGAATCGCAACCTAAAGGAAACAACTGCACTCGTAGGTTTCAAAAAAAGATGCCGGTTGCAGGGAGTCGCTAGAGGAGGCCTTGCGAGGCCGCAGCCGGCCTGGATCTAGGGTTAGGCTCTGATACCATGTTAAGATTTGTAATAGAACAAAATTATTCTCATTAATAAAAAGAGAAGTATTTAAACTCAATTACAACGAACTAAAATAAGAAAAGAAATAAAAACAAAATCAAAAAAATAAAATCTGAATAAAGATAAAAAGGAAACTATAAAATACAAAATAAGGGTAATTAATAAATAATAACGGCTATGGGAAGCATAAATCAACTATGAAAAAAGTTGTGTTACGTGTTTTAAACATCTACAATCTCCATATTGGCTTTGCGCATTTTTAAGGAAAAATTTATCATTTTGCGTGAGCATGAGTATATTAACATCATCATTCACTTTGTAGCAAAACTACTTTAGCATTAATTAAATTCTTTAAAATAAAAAATATTTCATTCTGAAAGTTAACAGATAGATCTTAAATACTAATAGGTCTTAGATCATGGTTCTTGTTTCTTTCAATAACAACCCGCTTGCAATATATAAGCACCTCTGTAAGTGTTTTATGTCCATTTTAAATTACAATATAGAATATGAAAACAAGCATGCTCCTAGCATTTGATGAAAGCATATAGAGAAGTATCAATAAGGAAAACCACTTGTGATTACAGATTTTATTTCAGTTATTTCAACAAGACGGAATGGAGGTTATTTATTGCTTTGTGGCCAAACGAATAAAATGCAACGAAAATTTTACAAATAAAGCCATGGAAAAAGTTGCTGCCAAATCCAAGTATCAACTTTTGGCAATCAAGTTAGCAATATGAAAAGCTATGTTTGATCAAAAAGAATTTTACAGTTTCTGCAAAATAATAATACTATCATCTTCAGAATGTTTAACTTTATTATCACTCATGACACGATCAAATGAATCAGATAACAGAATGAAGAAGAATAAAATTAAAAAGTATGTACTTCAAAATTGATGAGTTGTGTAAAAAGATTCAACAATAAACTTAACAATTTCCTATCAGAAAAATAGAAACAATATAGCGCATACCTTTTCACCACTATCATTACCCACCACTCGAATTTCTAATCCGACGGATGCAACGTCTGGTGCAAGAGGAATTTCTTTGTAGCTATGAAACTTGATGGCTCCAGGGTCAAAACGAAGGAAACCAAAATCATGTACCTAAGATAAACTTATCAATTTCTAAGTCCATGTAATAATCAAAATAAGCATGCATTCCAACACACACATTTAATCACATGTGTACATGAAACTGAAAGTTTATTAACCAGAATGGAAATGGAAGGGGTAGAAAACAAACTAAATAGCAACACAAATCCAGTCTACAAATCAATCAAGAAGTAAATGGAAAAATACAAACATGATAATTTGTGAACAGTCTCTTAAATTTATTAGCATATATTTTGATGAATGAGATTGAAACTTCCCTAGAACAAGCAAAAAAGGTTGTTTTTATACATCCCTAGGAATATATTACCCCTTCATTACCAAATGCTCAGCACGGGCTATGCTTGCTTTCCCATTTTCCAGGGCACCTTTACTACTGTTATTAAGTTGGGTAAACTTATCATACATTGAATTCTACCAATGATATCAAAGCCAGAAATTAAAATTTTTGGTGTCCTGAACATGAAAAAGGAGGGTGTATTTTTTCTTTCTGTTTTTTCATCTCGGAAGTACACTTAAACAAAAGAAGACTGAGGGCTGAAATGATTTGTGTACTTAGAAAATACATATTACAAGAATACTTGACATATTCCATCATTTTATTAAAAGAGATTAGGAAGCGACATGTATTTTAAAATCTACAAGCCATAAAATGTAATGATAATGTTTTCTCATATAAAATGGATATCAACGATTCCCCCTAAAAACCCACACCAAAACAAGGCTCAAACAAAGCCTAGGTGTACACAGTGTGGCGATAATTAACAGTACAACAATTATCATTGAAAAAAACCAAATGACCCCTCTCATGCGCAGATGCGCTCCGCATATACTGGTTCAGCAATGGCGCTAATTTAGCACTGGAGTACGATCTAAAAGACTAATTGACATTTCAATTAAAAGTTAAGTTTCCGATGTTCAAGCTTCGAGATCCTAGTTTGTATATCTGCTCAAATTGTGTGCACAAGCAAATAGCATCTTTCATTTAAGCAGGTTGCAGGCACGCTACGGCACTCAAGAAGCATGGAACTACGAAAAAAAATAACAGCCGAATTCCGCAAAGAATCTGCGACAAAAAAAATATACCGGATCCCTGTACAGAGGATACACCGGAATCTCCTCCCGGTTAACGAACATTGCCTCGGCAACTACTGGACCTGGGCAATAAGAGAAACCATATGAAACACTCTACACAACGAAGGGTACCAATTCCGTGCAAAACATGGAAATACCCGAGAACTAAACCCGAATATACCAGGTTTCACGACGTGACGATTGCTGAGGATGATGCCACGAGACTTGTCCACGACGAATCCGGTGGCGCAGCTGGCGCCTGCGACCTCAGTATCAAAAGCGCGGGCCGCTGTCGTACGGAGCACGACAACAGCCGGCACGACTGTCGCCAATGCCCGACGCCAGTCTTCCGCCATTGCTGAGCCATCCCGACACTGCTGCGCAAGCTCAATCCCTAAGCCCAGATCGGCCCTTATGCAAGACTCCATCCCCTCGAGCCCTCAAGTCCCCACCCGACAATATCCCCTGTCCCTCTCGCTCGCTCTCTCCTTCTCGCCCCCCTGCACATCCTTTTTCCCTCTCCCCACTGAGAGAGCGCTGCACGTATCAATTTGGTGATCGAGCAGCGAGGGCTGATAAAAAGTAATTGTTTTACAAAGTATCCCCGCTCAAATTGAGTAAATCATAATTACTTATCTTGATGCACTAATTTAATTGTTTGGATAAATATCTACTTTTTTTTTATTTGAATCGATATATTATAAATATTTTTAAGCAGTATAAATTGATTGGAGGATAGTCTTATCTATCTAATAATTGTTTTGGGTCCTTTGGGATCTTTTTTTTTATTATTATTATATTTTATCTTTTATTTAAAAAATGATATTTTTATATGATATAATATGTCTAGTTATTTTTAGAAATATTGATAATAATTTTAAAATATTTAATTGTTTTTTAAACAATTTGCTTTATTTTCGAATACAAATAAAAAAATACAAAAAATGCATTAAATAAATATGATTTTTGATTGACCTCGCAGCCTGAGTTTCTTCGCTAATTTATTACACTGCTACCCTCAGTTCCCTCGTTTCTTGTCTGCCCCAATTACCTCTCTTGATCGCTCTTGTGAACCTTCTCTCTCTCTCTCTCTCTCTCTCTCTCTCTCTCTCTCTCTCTCTCTTTTGTGTCTCTCCCGTGCTTCTCTCGAGCCTCTCATAAGCCTCTCTCTCGTAGTTGTCTTTCTCATCTTCATCTTCCCTTCGATCTTTGGTTATTGTGCTCTGTACATAATTCGTGTGCTCATTTTTTATTGAATGGCTTTCTCTTTGCAATTTTATTGACTTTTTGATTTATCTCTTCTTTTTTTGTGATTTGAAATTTATGATAAAAAAAAATGTGGAATGGTGTTAATCTTAACTGATTTTTTGGGTGGGAATTTGATAAATGGATGAAAGAGCGAGCTTGATTTGTAGATAACAATGTTTTGGTGCCTTGTATGTAGACGGATAAAATGAAAAATATGATATGGTCTTCTATCATTACTTCCTCTAACTTTTTAGTGGGAATTTGACAAATGGATGAAATAGGGTGTTTGATTTGTACATAGCATTGTTTAGATGTCATGTATGCAATTGCCTCATTTTGGATAGAACGACTTTCTGTTTGTGATTTTTGCCTTTCTCATTTGCAATTTACTGTGAGAAAATTGTTATATTTGCGATTTGCAGCTTTCTAATTTCTCTCCTCTAATTTTACAATTTAATTTTACGAGAAAAAAGAAAAAGGTTGAATAGTGTTTTTATCTCCACTGATTTTTTGAGTGGGACTTTGATGAACGGATGAAGTGTGCTTGATTTGTAGATAGTAATGTTTCATGTGCCATGTATGTAATCGAATGAAATTACAGATAAGGGATGGACTTCCATCATTACCTCTGATTTTCTAGTTGGAATTTGAAAAATGGATGACATAGGGTGGTTGATTTGTACATAGCATTGTGTCGAGTGCTCTGTATGTAATTACCACAATTTAAAATTATGGAATGTTTATCTTTGAGAATTGAGTAAGAATTTGAGAAATGATTGAAATAGAGTGCATGATTTGTTGTTAGCAGTGTTTCGGGCCCCTGTATGTAGTATCCTTGAATGAAAAATATGGGGTGGGGTTTTATCTTTACCTTTGATGTTTGAGTGAGAATTTGAGAAATTGCTGAAAGATGGTGCTTAATTTGTTGATAGCAATATTTCAGGTACCTTGTATCTAGTAGCCTCAAATGAAAAATATAGGGTGGGATTTCTTTCCCTTTGATGTTTGAGTGAGAATTTAACAAATGGCTGAAAGAGGGTGCTTGATTTGTTTATAGCAATGTTTCGGGTATCATGTAAGCAGTAGCATCAAATGAAAAATATGAGGTGGGGTTTTATCTTTACCTTTGACATTTGGTGGTGGTATACGTTGGTTTGTTTGTGGACGTGGTGATATTGTAGATATGGTGGCTGGTATGTGGTTGTGTTTGTGTTAGAGGATATGTTAATGAATGTGTAGAGGTGATGGTGTTGTGGAGGTGGCGGTTGTTGTGTGATTGTGTTTGTGTGGAGGTGGTGGTAGCGGTGTTGTGAATGTGTTGGTGTTTTAATGTGCTGGTGTGTGGAGGTGTTTGTGTCTCTAGGTGGTGGCAATGGTGATGTGTAAGTGATGTTGCAGTGTGGAGGGGCATTGGTGATGATATTATTACATTTCTATTTTTCTTTGAGTTGTGATATTATGACATTCCTACTTATGTTAATAAGTTTTTCTTATGTTATAAATACAATGGTTAAGATAAAAGAGGTTGGTTCATCTGCAATGTGGGATAAAGAGATAAAATTAATATTTTGTGACATTTGTCTCATGGAGGTTAAAATGGGATAATATATTTCAACAATAAAGACCAACAAAATATTTTTAGAGAATTCAAAGAAAGTACAGACAGAGTGTATAATAAAATACAAATAAAAAGTAAGTGAAATCAACTAAACAAGAATTATAAAATCTGTAAGGAATTGAAGTGAGGATCAATGTTCTTGGAGTGGGATCTGATAAAGTGAATGATTGATGCATCTGGGGAGTGGTGAGTAGAGAGAATGACAGTTAGTATTTTTGAAATGTCTCATATTTTTCTCAAATTTTAATTTATTTTCAAATCCAACAACATATTATATGAATTTGTAGGTGATTTCTGCTGCAAAAAAATTAAATATATTGGAATTGATTTTGAGTTGGAGGAGAAGTTGGGTCTTATGTTTGGAGGTGTCGTGGTAATGAGTAACAATGCATGTGCTCCCAATAAGGCGGGGATTGGAGGCATCCTTGAAAATTTAGGAGCCGACCAAATATGTGATTCCAACGAAGGCCCCAACATGAAACTCCATGAAATTGAGTGAACGAGCCAGTGAAATAATTATCGGGTTGAAAAAAAAGAGGGAGTTGCTTTCCTTATAAGCTAGATCTCACAGTTTGTGACTTCATTCATCAATGATCCCAGCCCATCACAAGCAACTTTTGTCTACCAGGTCATGGGAATTCTGGATGCAATTTTCAGAAAATTAAGAAGACGTGTCGTTGTGTTTGTTCTCTATGAAGTTGCTTGAAGGTTTAACCCGTAGAGAGTTTTTCATAATAATGCCCGCAAACAGTAGGGTGACTTACCTATGTTATTTTCATGGGAGCAATAACATTTAAGGTACAATTTTTTTATTAGATTATTGTGGGACTTTTTTATTTCTTTAAGATTTTTCATGATGCTTTAGATTTTTATGTTGCTTTGAACATGTTACTTTACTTCAAAGTTTTTCATTCCTCCTTATGTTTTCTATTTACTTCTATAATGTTATTTGCTTATGTTGGTTTTGTTCGCATCCTTATATTATTGTAACTAATTTAATGATACTTATCTGTAAGTCACTTAGATACCAAAATACATGGATACAACTAGAGAATGCCCTAGAAGGACAGTTGCAGTTGCAGTATGATTGATGTACGAATATTATAACTCGTACATAGAGCCCTCCCCTTGCATGACATTGTCATATGTTGGCGACAAATGGGTTAGGGAGTTGTTTTTGGGCCACCCAATGTGGTTTAATAATATGTTCTGCATGGCACATGTCATATTCACAAATCGGTTGAAGGAACTACACATGAATCATAGACTTCATGACTCTTCCAGAACTATTTCATGAGAGTTGTTAGTAATAACCTTCTGCATATTATGATAAAATGAATCAATGTGAGGAACTATAGAGTGATTTAAGCACATTTTTAAAACAATTTGCAGATACTTCTCACTATGGTTGAATGCACTTGTTAGTTTTTCTTCACATGTCATAAAGTCAACAGATCTTACATTCGAACGGAGCCCATAGAGATTCACATGATACGTGGTATGTGTCATGCTTTAAGGTAATTTCTCATATTTATTGCATTAAATTTTAAAACAAATATTACAATTACATAATCATTTGTTATCTTTCAAGAATTGTATTAGGGCAATGATAAAACACACGTTGATGCATGTGTTACAAATAATGAAAAGATTGCGTTCATTAATTATTATAAGTCCCCGACCCAGAATGTCATGGTGATATGCGACTTTAACACGTGCTTGTCATGGTCAGTTGGGAGGGGTAATACACATGACAATTAAATATTCAAATCTGCAACATGAAATAACAAATATAACTTCTTTAGGGTATTGGTTAGTTTCAAATCTGCAACAGGTTTGCTTGAGACTAAACAACTCCCCTAATTCTTTTTTTCCTTCAACACTATTCATTTATTTCACATCAGATAAATATTAATTGGTCAATGTTGGGTATTTGTTGCAACGTGGTTGTCTCAGGTTCTATCTTGATATGAGAAACCACATATCTAATGTTGAGTGAGTTAGCAATGTTGCGTGGGACAGGAATAAAATATTCAACAAAATACTTTCATCCTTATGCGGTGTTATTGTGATATTTTTTAGTGTTTGGAAGAAGAAATGAGTTATACTTCGTGATATGTCATCTTATTCATTTCCCAAATAAGTGCAAATTGTGATTGTCATGATGACTTTTTACAATTATATTCAGTAACATCCTTCCCGCAACGACATCAACTTTCATAGGGTGAACGAGGAACACAAACATGTCTCTGTAGAGGCATACGTGTACTGTCTTGGACAGTCTTTGTCATAGGCTGAAAATGATATTTTCGAGACCAAAACTAAAGACGGGTTAGGTGCAAGCGAGATGACTGAGTTGAGGGAACAAATTATTGATGCGATAGTTGAAGGACGATTAGAGAGATTATTAATTTTTATCATATTATTAATTATAATGGTTGTTGAAGACATTCGGGGTTTATCGTATCAGTATTTTATAGAGTTCATGCTTATTTTTTTTCCTTATGCATTTGATATTTACTGTTTTTGTTTCTTATGCAAATTGTATGTTTTTTCGTTTTGTTTTTCTTTTTTTTCTTTTTTTGGGTTTTGGAGGTCTATGATCAGACGTTTGACCTTATCGGTTCTTTTGGATGACTTGTATGTTATCATTGGTTTGTTTCACATATGAAATCTTAATCAAGGTAACTGTATGTTATCATTGGTTTGTTTCACATATGAAATCCTAATCAAGGCAACCAAGTTCCTCTCTTTTTTCAGTGCTACGATTTTTTAGATTTTTTTGGATAACCTTTTTTGGTGATCTGCTTATGTGACAAATATGAGTTTGATATTACGTTGGTTAAAGATTAACAAGAACCCTGTTTATATATTGAGTGACAAATTCGTTGGTTTATATATTGAGTTCTCAGAGACCTCGCGGTTGTAAAAAACTATAATTAATTACTTATGTTATCAATTTTTACTTATGTTATGCCTATGAGTATGTTTTTCAAGCATTAAAGAAAGATGAGATCGAGGATTTATAGTACATTCAGATGATTACATTGCTATTGTGCACTTCAAAATTTCCTACTAACTTCACGTAAACCACATAACTATCGACGACAGTTTTATAGATGTCCACAGAGAATCACAAAAACTGTGACTATCTTCGACAGGCAAATAGACTGGAAGATTTCACCACCGAGAGTTGTTGGGCATGGAGAGTATCTCTGGAAATAGCTTAGCTCGTGACATACGTCGCCTGAATTTTAAAAATAATATCATAATATTATTAATTATTATTTTAATAATTTTTTTTTTAATTTTAATAGTCATGCTACTTACTGTTTAGTGAGTTGTCTATCTTTATTTTGTAATGTTTTGTATAAAATATTTACTTTTAAAATATAAAATGTACTGATATGAATAGTTCTGTTACAAATAATATTTTTATATAAAGATAGAATGATCAACTGTCCAGAAATAGCTGCAACACAACTGTTTTCAAATTATAAAAAATAAACAAACAACTAACTTATCCACAACAACTTCATGTGACAACCGATATGCAACAACTTATTATTAAGTTGTAGCTGCCCCAAACAGACTCTTAAATAGAGTCGCCATGTGGTTGCACGTTGAGATAAAAGATATGCATGTAACTAAATCAATCTTGACAGTAATGATGATAAAACCATTAACCAACTTTGTCCCTCTCACTTCAATACAATCCCACATAACTTGGATTTATCATGTTACTATCCCCAATTACGTTGCACCATAGTGTCGGGACATAATTTTTTTTCTTGCATCATTTGGTTACACATGAGGCAATGGCAAGTCATAAAGAAATGCTCTTCCCCACTCCCTAACCCTCAAATTCACCCACACATAACCATCAATTCGTCTTTGTCATCTTCTCTTTCTTAACTTCATGTTCTGCCACCCTCTCTTACATCACTCCTCCATCGAACAACAATTCAAGGTTCAAATATAATTCATGGTATGACTCAAAATAAATTCAAATTTTTATTTATACCTCCTATTGCAATATTAAATTTGGATATATTTTGGTTTAGAAAGCATTTTGGAGCATATTTGTCAAAATTAAATCAATGTAGGAGATTTGTCTAACTAGGCACATTATTAAGTACCAAAAAGAATGTTTTCAAAAATAAATTTTGATTCATACAATTGAGCAAAAAAATTCAAAAATGAATTATTTCCCTTAAAACTGTAAGCGTAATATTATTTCACGGATGATTAACAAACGTAAATGTTGATAGAAATCATTGACATCTCTTATTAATAGTGAGATATGAAACAAATGGTTGCACTAATAGTTAATGATGGCAAGAATGATGTAAAAGGGTATAATAGTTTTCGCCAATTCACCTAAATCAATATGATAAAAAAAATAATAATAAAACAACACAATATAAAATTATGATATATATCCATTATTGATGTCAACAAGTTTAATGTCTTACAGTTAACATAATTTTAAGCTATAAGATACCTTCAAAAGTGAAGTTAGTTTATAAAGTATGTGAAGTAAAAATGGACTGAGGGATTGTGATCCACACTGAACTTTCTAATATAATATAATCATATTTTGATACTAGTTGATAAAAAATTAGGACACAGGTAGTTATGAAACACATGGGATAATGTGAACATTCTTGAAACATTTAGGGTTTTAGTCGGGATTCAATTAATTAAATCTGAGGTTTAGATAATGATTGAAGTTTTTGTTACGAGTCAAATCAAGATTCAACTAAGACAACCAAATATGGGTCATCCACATGTCAATCAAGATAATAATTAGATAATCACATTAATTAATTTTGGTCATTTAATTGCGTTCATAAATTGCATCCCACTTGAGAAAAAAAAGTCAACTCAAGTTTTTGTTTGTTCATTTAAAATACAATATTACACATTTAGATGAGTTATAAGTAGTCTATATCCAATGAAATGCAATTACTAGTGCCTGGACTTTACCATATCCATCTCGTACTCTTTTGAAATGCATTGTTTGACTAATAATGAAAATAATGGTTTGATTGACACTCTTTTATAGCACACATAGTGTTTTCTAATTGAAACTATATGGAATTAAAGACATTTTTTTCTAAGCATTTTTATTGATCTACATATACACTTTTAACTTTTTTATATTAATAAGAGCAAACTCTCTAAAAACTTGATAATAGGTGCATGTCATAATAATAACCATAATAACTATTATGTATTTTTTTATTTGTGTTGTAGCACTAATGCTTATTGATATGTTAAATTTGATTTGACTCGAGACTCTTATAATAGTCTCTCATCATTCCTTTCCTATATATGAAAAATACTCGGCGTTGCGGCTAAGGACATCATTATTAAAAAGAAGATAACTATTTGGGGAGATGAATACTTTACAAAGAGCGGCGGTGAAGTGGTAAGCTCGCCAGGGATAAAAAAATTCAGCTTTGGCTCTAGCTACTTCACACGCAATGGCTATATGAATTAGGAAAAAAAATTAATTTGACTGATTCTCCGTTCCCTTGTTCAAAATTGGCGCAGGAGTCTTTCTCTCTCTAACGCGGGAGGAGGAGACGAGCATTCTCGAGTCGCCGTCACGTCCTTGCAAGCGCAACAGCTGAAGCGGAGGAGAGCAGGTAAGGCGGGTCTTCTCAAATTGCAAGCTTTTTAATTACTTCTTACAGGAGAGTGCTTGATTTTCCAGTTAGTGGCGTTGCACTTGCTCTGCGCGGCATTCTTCCAGGCAAGTCCGATAGTGGCGTTGCACTTGCTCTGCGCGGCATTCTTCCAGGCAAGTCCGATAGTCGACTTCAATACGTTTGGTCATCTGGGCTATACAGAGTTCGGCTGTTTGGTGGGAAATATCAGGAAGAAAAAATTGAGATCTTGAAGGGTTGGTTCAACAAAAGTTTGAAGGGAGAAGGAAGGAATGGTTGCGTGATTTGTGGTTATGGACGCAAAATGATTTCTTTTTGGTTGTAAATTTTTTTTTGGTTGACTTACGGTGACATTGATCTCTCTCTATTCTGTTTCGGCATTCTTGCTGCCCTTTTTACTGTTATGAAATGATTTGCTCTAGTTTTTGATCTCTTGCAAACACGAGCTGGAGATCTTCGTGGTTCTTACTGGTTTGGGGATCCTGTGGAAATGACGTAAAAGTAAGATACTTTGGCGATGGGTGTAATCTTCTCTTGTGCTTTGCCATTGAAGTTTATGAAATTGTTTGGTTTGTGTTGAGAGAGAGGAGGGCACTCGAACTTTGTACAATGGCTGCCTCTCCTCCTTCATCCTCTGCAATTCCACCAACTTCCTCAGGCGCCTCACCATCAAAGCCATCCCTTTCCTCTCCACCTCCATCTCCCGGAGCTGACTCCCAGCCTAATGCCTCAACCGATCCTCCTGCATCTTCTCCACCCCCGTCTTCTGTTGCTACTCCTCCTCCTATCTCTAGCCCTCCCCCACCCATTTTAACTTCCTCACCACCTTCATCTCCAGTACCACCAGCAATCTCTTCGCCCCCGCCATCGAGCAATCCTGCTCCACCACCAGCTTCCCCATCTAACCCAACTCCTAGCGCACCACCCCCTGCACCAATTCTATCTCCTCCTACTACTGTGACACCGCCCCCAGCTTCTCAGCCTCCACCTTCATTGCCATCATCACCTCCTTCCACCCCACTCTCCCCTCCACCTGTAGTTACAGTGCCGCCTCCATTGCCTCCTCAGGCTCAGCCACCTCCACCTCCATCTTCTACACCGCCAGGAGGTATATCTCCTTCACCACCTCCACAAGATCCCCCTCCTTCTGGGTCTCCTCCCCCACCTTCAAATCCCAATTCACCAGCACCACCTCTGAATGAACAACCACCTCCGCTCTCTCCTCCTCCTCCTCCTCCTCCAAGGAATTCCTCTAGCCAAGTGCCACCCAACAATCCAACCACTTCACCCTCTCCACCTCTGAGTTTTCCAATCACTCCTAGCAACTCTCCAAGCTCTCCTTCCCCAAACACGCCAGGCTCTTTGGCTAGTCCTGTTAGTCCCAGTGCCGGGGGATCAACTACACCATCAGCAAATGATAATGTTGGCTCAGTGAGCAGCAGAACTGTTGCTAGTGGAAGCAATAGTGGGGTGATTGTTCCTATTGCTGTAATGTCAGCATTGGTTGCACTCAGTTTAATAGGAGTTTCAGTATGGTTCATGAGTAAACGTAAGAAGTCTAAGGGTTATGCTGCTGGTTTTGTCATGCCCTCTCCAATGGCATCATCACAGTTTTCAGGTAAAATTTAAAGCCCTTTTTATGTTACAGGGTTAAATGTTTTATAATATAATCTTCTCAGATAGACTTGTCTGATTATTTGAATACCTCAGAGTCATCATACCAAAGGTCCCCCTCAGCTCCACTTGTCTTATACAGCTCTGGAACTCATGGTGGATCTCCTGGTTCCATGAACTCACTGCCTGAGCATAATTTAGGCAATTCAAAGTCATGGTTTTCCTTTGGGGATCTGTACCAAATAACAAATGGCTTTTCAGAACAGAATTTGTTGGGTGAAGGTGGCTTTGGTTGTGTATTTAAAGGCTGCTTACCAGATGGAAGAGATGTTGCAGTGAAGCAACTCAAAGTTGGTGGTGCTCAGGGAGAGCGAGAGTTTAGAGCGGAAGTTGAAATTATTAGTCGTGTTCATCATCGACATTTGGTTTCTTTAGTAGGGTACTGCATAGCTGAAAATCAAAGATTGTTAGTCTATGATTATGTGCCTAACAATACACTTCATTATCACCTACATGGTATGATAACAATTTTTTTAAATGTTTGTGTAACAAATATGTTGTTCGATTAATTTACCCAACAGATTTTTAGGACATGGAAGACCGGTTATGGACTGGGCGGTGAGGGTTAAGGTTGCAGCAGGGGCAGCTCGTGGAATTGCATACTTGCATGAGGATTGTAATTCCACTCATCTAATGCTCTTATTAAAAAATTACATTTAATTTGTTTAAATTGGCCTTGGACTGTAGTTTTATTTTGAGTGTAATTTGCCTATTTTATCAGGCCATCCTAGGATTATTCACAGAGATATAAAGTCCTCAAACATTCTCTTAGACAACAATTTTGAAGCTCAGGTTTTCATCTTTATATGAGCTGGAATTTTAGAAATTAACATTTTGTGCTTCTAATCTTATTTACTAAATATTTTATCCACCATTTTATGCATTAGGTTTCTGATTTTGGTTTAGCAAGGCTTGCTATGGATGCTTGTACGCATGTGACCACAAGAGTGATGGGAACATTTGGGTAACTGTGTGCCTTGCTAGACTTAATTTATTTTTGGGATTTTGAATACATACCATCTAATTCTTATGTACTTACATATCTAACACATAAAATGTGCTTTTTTACCTTTGTACCATTCAAATCTAAATGCACGGCCCAAAGCTTCATATCACTTCAAAAATAAAATCATTTTAACTTCTAAAAGGTGAAATGCACTTTTTCATGCGTAGGTAAGGTGGTATGCATGTAAAAATCGAAGTTTAAGTGTTTGATATGTAGATACATAGGAATTGAGTGTTGTGCATGTAAATCTTCCTTTTTTTGTTGGGAAATTTTAAACATTTTGAAAATATAAAATATCGAGATTTGAGAATTTTCTTAATCCTTGCCAGGGAACATTGCTTTGTGCTAGCACAATTCTTCAAATTTTTTTATTAGGTAGCAACTGGTTAATTAAATCTTTCACACAATTCTACCTTCTAAACTTAAACATCTCAACTGAAAGCCAAAGATAGGAAAATGGTATTTCCTTTTCTATTCCCTCATGCATTTTGCAAAGGGTTTGTGGCATGGGCACTGAATCCATCTATAATATGAGGGGCTGAATAATCAATCTTTATAACGGTCAAATATTTAAATTTAAATAATTTAAACTAATGTTTATCTATGTGGATAATCCAAAAAATTTAAAATTAAATTCTTAAATTTGGATATTTATGCACCAATTTTAAAAACTAACCTTCAAACCGCTTTTTGCACCTCAATTTGAAGCTCTTCTAAAACACTTTGAGGCCATGGTCTTGAAGCTTTAATGTGTTTGAATTAAATCTTATTAATTGTTAGAGTTCACTCTCTCAGTTTGCTTCAGATCTTGCTATGCTAATAATGAATTCTTTCTTGGATAAAATCTTTATTTTTGCTATGCATATCTAGAATGCTCATGCTTATTTCTGCGATCATAGAGTTTTAGTATTGTTGACCTCCTGATTTTACTCAATAAGCCACAATTACAACAAACTCATTTAAATAAATGATTATAAGCTCTGTGCTTTCTCTTTCTCCTGCTATATATTTGAAGGCAATTGCTAACTGTACAAAGGAGTTGACTTATTCATTTCATACCATTCTCTTTTTCTTATTTTGATGTTCATATAATCATGTTTCAGTATTGAACAATGGAATTTTTTTTTTGTAGAAATAACCATCACTCATTTCTTCTTCAGTCATTTATGATTTGCAAGTACTTAGATGTCACGACCCAACATGATAACTTAGAATTAATCAAGTCAGGAACTGCATTCAGACGGTATTAATATTTCTTTTAAATTATACAATAATCCATCATACCTTCCAATAATAAAAAAAAACCACTAAAAATTACAAAGCACACTAAATGAAAGATTAAATTCATCCAGAGCAACAATTTACTTTGAAAGCAAAATAGTACCTATCTAACAAAAAATAATAGAAAATTTCTCATAATTAAATGGTATAAGAAACTAGAATCATAATTAATACCTACTACCTAGCATTAACGTCATTCTCCTGTAAATCAAATATTTATATTAAACATATCAAACCTACCTAATGTTTTGTCTAGAAGAAATAATTAATTTAAGCATTAAGCTTATCACAACTTAATGAGTAATTACAATTTTATTATGCATTAAATAAATACGCAAATGCTATGCATGATGTTCAAAAGTAATGTGATTCATTAATTGATTAAAATGTAAGCTTTCAATTTAAATTAACCCTTTTTGTTTCAATTTAAGTATTTACCTTTTTAATCCTTTTAAGAAGTCATATTATGTTCGTAAATACCTTCAAAAGTTTGTAACTGTAGGTATTGCCAATAGTTTGCACTCGAAGGCATACATTTATCATTTTCATTTTTTTTTCAAATACGAGTACGATAGCCCTCAACTAGTACCATAAGGGGGTACATGCTGATTGACTTAATCCTTTACATTTCATTTCTTTTTTATTTTATCCATTTAAAGTTATTGAACAAACATTTACCTTTATAATTTTCATTTATTTTTATTTCAAAGATCTTTTAACTTTCAATATGCATATAATCAGAAAAGTAGATATCTGTAAGACAACAATGCAAGTTCATTTTAAATAAAATATTACTTTAATACGCATAAGAATACAATTACTCACCATTACTTTAAAGGAACTCTTTACAAGCTTAGTCCTCTACTTCTTACTATCACCTTCTCTTTGACTCTACATTTTTAGCCCAAACCATGATCCAAAAGCCTAATTCATTGAATCAAATTTTCTTTATTTCATTATATTAATATCTACTTAATAACATTTTAATTAATTAAACAAAACATCTTATATAATTAAAACACCCAAACTATTACCTTTATAAAATTTGTTCGGATCGCTATTCCTTCCCACCAAAACCTTCCACTTATAATTTTTTATTTTAATTCATAAAACCATGACATATTTAATTAATTATATTTATCTAATTTAAAAAACTTAAACCCGAACCTTACCCTTCTTCCAGTGTTTGGTTTGACCTCTTCCCACACGAAACTTCTTTGCACTTAGGCTATTTTCCTTTAATTCATATTCATTAATGATGTTTAAAAATCAATTTTAATAACATCTAATTAAATACATAAAAAATTATTATGATCGCGGTTCGATTCAACTTTTCCCTTCAGGCACACAACTGTCCCTCTCTCGTCCTCCTCTCCGCCACTTACAATAGGCGCTCGAAGGCTCCTCTTTCTGCAGCAAATTCTCTCCTTCCACTTTTTCTTTGATGCTCTGTCGGTTATCTTCCTTCACACACGAACTCCTACTCTTCTTGGTTCGCGCGTTTCACCAGCTAATCCGAAACTGCGTTTGGATTTTTACACTAAAATCAGGCCGTGGGTCGACCCTTGCGGTCGGCTCGCGGGCAGCATTTCAGGATAAACAGCTTACCTTGAAACGCATAAGCTGCCCCAAACGGACCCTAAGTTGGTTCATCTCATTATATGATCTCTAGTAGTTGTAAGCCTTCGCTTGATGCTTATCAATAATTGATGTACAACTTGCATGTCTATTTAGTGTTCACTTTTTAATAAGAAAAATGATTGCAGGTCATTGTTCATCACTCAATATCTAATATTCTTGGTTTAATATTACCCAACACATATAAATATCTAATGCTTATCAATCACTGATAGATGACAAATACCCATTAGTTGCATGTGTCCCCGCATTAAAAATGAGCGAGCTAGCTACTAATCATCACCCTGGCCATCGTAACCAAACTCTGATGCTTACAAATCAACCATTGAAATTCAATGCTTGTCACATTGGTTGCCAATTTCTCCTTTCATTAGGGGAACAAACTAGTAAACCATTGCTGGTTACCCAAGGTGTAATTTATCTAGGATATTTTCGCCTAATGTTTGGCAATAATTGACACATTATGTCTATCACCTTCGAGCATTCGATGACGTCTTCTTTATAATCACATCTCCCCTCTTAAAGGATGATTGATGAAGATAACTATCCACCATCAATTGATGTTTACTCAATTATCTAAAATTCCAACTTTCATTATGGAATATATGTTCCATAATTTATGCTTACTATATTATATTATTACATATTTTGTTGTAGGACAGACATCTTTTATTATATAAAATTCATACTAATAAAATTATATTAACTGAGTTATGCCCACTAATTTCTCTATTTCCTTGAAATTTCACTTGAAAAGTTATAAGCTACTCAAAATTTATTTATGTACGTAAAAACTTTGTTCAATGCTAATATTTTGTGACAAAGAATTTATGGTGATAGAGTGATTTATTAACATCTTAACATTATAAAAGATCCAACATACACATAAAAAGAGAGCTAATAGACAGGAGACCAAAGTTTCTTACATAAAAGCCACAACAGGGAAAAAATCATGAGACCTAAAATAGTTAAAATGGTTCCATTATTAGATGTATAATAGAAGATTTTGCTTGCTCTTGAACAATGAAAAATAATATTAAAAGAGTGAATTCTATCAACTTGACCTTCACTAAGAAAGAGATGAAAAGTGTTAGTTCGTATTTAGATTGTTTCAGCCCATTTGAGATCATGCTATGTCCTCATATAGGGAGTAGAAGTACAAACAGAGAGTATTTTATAACTTGAATTATTTTAGTAAAATTTTTTATATTTATGAGAAGGCTTGAGAGATATAGTTATCAATATTCTTATCTTGAATGTAGAGAAATTGTTTAACTATGATCGTGTTTAAGATGTTGACATAATTAACCTTTCAAGGTTGTAGTGAAAGTTGCCCGCGATCCTAAAATTAATTTTTGTAGGTTTGATGCCCAAGTAGATTGTAAAAGAACTACCTAGCCATAACTCTGCCCATGATGTTGATATAAATGACCTAATAATGGAGAATGTTGCCCCCAAGTTAGAATTAATTCTCACAAACTTGATAACCGGTGAAAAGTAGAAAATGTCACCTTTCAACAACAATACCCAAATGGTTGACATGAATGAACATAGAATAAATTAATATAATTTTGTAAGATGAAATTGTGCTAAGTTGTATATGAGCATTTGATGGTTGCAGGAAAGTGGGTTCGTATGAGATGAATGGAGGGAATTAGCAATATAAAAGAAGTTGAAATTTTGGTTCGATAGGGAAGAATTTCACCATTGCTGGGAAAGGCCTCATATGTGCATCCTTGAGTGAGGCATTCTCCATTGTTGGTTGAACTTGGGGAATGTAAACTTCATCTGATTGTGCTAGTATCTGATGTGGTCAACTTGGATATTCTCTTGGGTGTCTTCTGACTATAAGACCTCGAGGTTGAGCGCTACCTGTAAGACGTGGTGGTCGCCCGGTGAAGTGGTCTTTCCACTTCTAAAGCTAGAGTTTGAAACTTATTTATAGTAAGCTGGTAGAAATTGACGTCGAATCTCCTGCTTCACCTTCAGAATCTCCCGTCCTCCACATGCTGGCTTTTTTCTTGGCCTCCTCTGATACTGAAATCCAAAGCGTCATGGCCGGTCTTTTGCATCACTAAAGTCCTCCTTATGGAAGGGATTCAGATCATCGTCCCTTGCTGTCCTTTGATTCTTCAGATCTCGGTCAAGGATACTCTCCTCCGTGGTTCCATCCTCAATATCCGCAAGCTTCTGTTGAAATCGGCAGACATATATCTCCTTGGTGGCATGTCTATAATTTATAGTTGCGAGGTGAAAGAGGATGTCAAAGCTTAATTGAAGGTGTAGGAAAACTAATTTGGGGTTGCTGATTTGGAAAATCAGCAAGGGGAGATTATGGTTAGTCAAAGTTTGGCTAGAGTTTGGGAATAGGAAAGAAAATTTTGGTGGAGGTGACTTGGGTAGCGGCTTATGTTAGGAAACCCTAGAATAGTATTAGGGTTAAGCTAACTCTGATACCAAATGATAATGGAGTCATCCTAAACCACAATATAAATATAAACATTATTTCTAAATTCAAATAGGATTACAAAGACGACTCTTCAAACATGAAATAAATGATAACAAACCTAAAACGATATAGAAAAACACCACTAAAGTGTATCCCAAGAATGGTGGAGGTCTGCTAGGTATATCAGGATGATTGGCGAGGGTGGCGACAACAAAGGATTGCTGGTGGCAACGAGGGGGATGTGCAAAAATACAATTACAACAAGCTTGGAGGCTGTCCTGGGTGATGACAACGAGGCGTTAGGGTGGATAGCGGTAGGGACAGCAGGAAGGAGGTGTACCCTGGCTGTCCTTGGTGGTAGTGGCTTAGTGGTTGAGCTGGGACAACAGGAAGGAGGTGCAGTTTGGGCGGCAACAAGCTGGAAGGGAGGGGAAGGTGGCTGGTAGGCTGTGGACTGCACAAAACAACAAACCGAGTGCTATTTTGGGCAGCTACAACGAGCGATGTGGGAAGATGTAGAAGGGAATAGGAGGAAGATAATCATTACCTCAGGCCAGAGCACCACCCAATTGGATACATCCTTCGAAGGGGAAGAAGACGCCGGCGGCTATCCTAACAAAAATCTGAAATTGCACCACCCAATTGGATACATCCTTCGAAGGGGAAGTAGACGCCGGCGGCTAAATCTGAAATTTGAAATTAATCAAAAGCTAACGCTAAGCAAGCTAAACCACACATTTATAATAGCTAAAAAATAAAATAAGAAGGAATTTAAATATGAAAAAAATATAATTAGGAAGGAAAAAGAGAAAGGCAAGGGATCAAGTAGGAAAAAAAAGGACTGCGGTACTGTAGCAACTATAGTACCGCGACCTGTTAAGCCACTGCATCACTTAATTCCTTTGATTTTTCTTCTTCCTTTCTCATTTAGGGCATGATTGTTCTTCTCTTAAAGGCACACGAGTGTCTATTCTCCTCCCTTCTATTCTTCTTCACATCGGAGCCGCTCGACTAGGATTTCTTTCTCTTCGACTCTACTCATGAGCCTCCTTCACATAGGTGATGAATTTCAAGCAAACTAATGACTTCTACTTCCTTCTACCATGTTTTGAAGCCAATCGTAACCCTCTGCTTTCACACATAAGCTTTTCTCTTTCTTTCTTCTTTTTCCTTCTCCTTCCTTTGTCTCTCGCTCTCCCTCTCGTTTTTCTATGCTCTCTTTGTTTCTTTGATTCAAAAGGGTTTGTACAACTCTTAAGTCGAAATTGAGGAGATGCTTATCTTTGTTTCCCATTCAATAATAATAATAACAATAATTATTATAATTATTAAAATTTTAGTTGTTACATTAGATGACCCATCATGTTAACTACTTCAATTCGAAACATTTTTAATTTATGAAACTTTGGCCCCAATCTTTGGAGCTTTGGCTTCTCTTTTCGAGGGAAAATGCTTTGCTTTAGACATTACATTTTTCAACATGATTCCCACTAGTGGCATGTATTCAAATTATTATGGTGCTTTTGATTTTGAAGCTTATGTCTGCACTTTTGGCCTTTCCAGATACTTAGCTCCAGAGTATGCATCAACTGGCAAGCTAACTGAGAAATCTGATGTTTTCTCCTTTGGAGTTGTTCTGTTGGAGCTTATTACTGGAAGAAAGCCTGTTGATTCTTCCCGGCCTCTTGGAGATGAAAGCCTTGTTGAATGGGTATATTCAAGACCATAGATGTTTTTTTTTCCCCTTTTTGTGCATGATATATATTTGTTGTTTGTTCTCATTTTTCTCCAACTCTTGCAGTTATATTCTGACATACTGAATATTTTTGTGGTTGAGAATTAATTCCTTATGATATCTTAATTTTCCATTTTAAGGGCTCATTTTAGTGCCTGAAGTTATAAATTTTGTTTTTAAATAAGGAAGCTTTTATATTCAATCATTTTATTGGATGTAGTTAAACTCCTCAAACCTTCATGAAACTTCTACATTTGTCATGATTGCATTTTCACACATTTCTGTTTTCAAGTAACAATATGAGCTCTAAGAAGTACTTTAAAATGACATACAAAATGCAGTGATTGGCCTGAAATGGGCAAAAGTATGCTTAACAATTTTTCTACTTTAGGTTCCAAGATCATGAATAATTATACTATATATATATATATATATAGTATAATTATTTTATTTAAAATTCTTAAATTGATCATATTGTTGATCACTATAATCTCTTCATGATAAATACCATTATTTAATTTTATATTTTATATCAATCATATAGAATTTGTTTTAGTAGTGATACCTCATTAAAAATATTGAGCAAGTCTCATTATTTTTATGTTACCAGATTTAACTCTTTCGAAATCATGCATATTATATCTTTCAATGAATTTCTTTAGATTGTTAAATCTAAAACATCAGGTTATGAGGAAATTAATTCTTAACTTAATATTTGCTGTGCTAGAATTTTTTAGAATCAGGATGAAATTTATTTTGTTTAAATTGCATCTTTATATTATTTTCTCAATCAAGTTTGATATTATAACCTACTCTTGGATGACATTTTGGCGAAATCTTAAGCTCTGATATTGAAGATAATCTTAATAAGTTTCACTGTCTAGGCTTTCTAATGCAAATTTTCATTGTTATATCGAAAATCATTTAACAAGCACAGATAGTTCACGAGCTACAAAATCTTAATCTTGATAATTATTCACTATTGCCAATGAAAATGAAAACTATTAAGATAATCAATTGCAATGAAAATTTAATGGCTTTTTTCTAGAAATAATGAATAGAAGTTAAGAACAAAATCACATTATCAATTGAAACTCACACATTCATTTAAAACAAGGTTGAATTTTATTTCAATAAAATCAATTATATGATGGTTTCATATAAAAATCTAAAACAGGGAATAAACGTAGAGAGAAAATCCACCAAAAATAGAAGAATTACGCCTCATGCTTTTGTAAGGATACAGCCTCTCTTATAAATATTTATGTTTCTTGATTAAGGAGTTGACATTGTGAGGTAGAATAAATATCACATCCAACTAGTTATATTTAACATAGAAAGGCTGTACATGACTAGAGGTATGCACTATTTGGTCAAAACCGAAAATTGAATCAAATCGATCGCATTTGTTTGATTTGATTTTTTTGAAATAACAATTTGATTTTTTGTTTTATAAATTTTACTATTAATTTTTTGATTTTTTGGATCGGTTATAATCTTCATTAAACGAAATAAACATAAAAATGAAAATATTAGGATTAGTATATTAAATTCACTTTGAACTAGTTGATACATTACTAGCTTTATGCATCTTGCCTTCACCATTTTGTTAATGTCATGGTCCATAGAGGGAGAGAGATGGCGAGGAGAATATCTCAAAGTAAAATATTTATTTTTAATAATTTTAGGTTTAATATTAATTTTCAATTTGGTCAAAACTAAACTGATTAAACCAAATTGAATTTCAGTTCGGTTTGGTTTGGTTTTAGCAAAAATTTAGTTGATTCAATTTTCTAGATTTTGGATTTCGGTTTTACTTGGTTTGATTAAGCTGTGAACCAAAGATTAGGTATGAAAAACCAACCTATAGTAATATTAAGCATCTAGGGAACCAATTAATTTCGGTCATTAATACAACCATCTCTAATTACAAGATAACACCCTGATCATGAACATACTAACTTCTATTGAAATTAGAACTGCGACGAAATTTAACAAATAATTAAAAAAACTAAAATAAAATAAAAGAATCTTCTTGAGATTTGCATCAAGTGTAGTTTGAAATCCGTTAAGTATTTTAAAATCTATAAAATACCTTCAAAATCCCTCAAAAGTATTGCTCTCTTTTCTTACGATAAAATGCAAGAATTGAAATTGTCATTTTGTAAAACTTGTTTTTAATCTACAAGAAACCAAATGAGCACCTAGGATAATATATATATATATATATTTCTCTTTACCATCGGACTCGTCATCTTATTGTATTCGATCATCATTGAGAAATGAGCCCCTAGGATAAGGACATAAAAGCAAATTTTGATATATTTAATAAAATGTGGTTTTATATTCTTTTTCCAGTAGGAAAGATAATAATAATAAGATGATATCAAGAATTAAACAGGAAAAAACCTGAAAGGTTTTGAAAATATTATTAAGATGATCTGTTGGTAATGATAAAATCACTAAGTGCCAGTGATACGTTCAAGTACTTAGCTACATGATGATTGAAAGAATAAAATTTAAAGGAAAATTATTTATACTAAAAAAATATAATTATGAAATATTGAAGCCCAACAACTTTTTATTTTTTATTTTTGTTAAAGCCCAACAATTCTTATAATAATGCCTTTGATGGTGCAAGAATGTGGGTTCAGTTGGAGCTCCTTAAATTATACAGAATATGGTATTTCTCTATAAATTAGAAAATTGCTTTTTTGTTTTATCTTACAAGTTCTACATCCTTTTATGATGGTAATTCCACAGTTCAACTCCATAATCTTTCTTCTTTTCATAAAAATGTGTACTATAACATTGCAAAATCTCTTTCGTATATGCTTGCTTAATCTTGAACTTCTGTATTTCTTATTTTCATCTATTTTGTCCATTCCAGCCAAATATGAAATATGCATTTCAATCCAAACACAAAACGCAGATATGGCAATGCAGAAAATCTTAAACCACCTATTCGCCTATACATGCATTGTTACATATATGAATGAATTTAAAAGTTGAGTTATACCTCTCTAAAATTAAACTTTATTTTATGATCATATTGTCAAAAATATGATCAATAAATAGTTTGACAGATTATGCCATTAATTGAGTGTTTTAAAGAAGAAGATTCGGATTGAGAATATAAAGCATGATCGATTCGGCGCACATCAAAACTCAAGTGATATAGGTCTTCTTATCTAGTTTCTAGATTAGTTCAAAGTTTAATGTTTCTTATCAAATGGGATTGATTAGGTGAGCATTTGTGTTGTTAAATGTAGTGTAGTTAACATGCTAGAGATGGATTTGAGTCGATGTTATTGCAAAACCAACCCACCAAAAAATTAGGCCTATCTCAACCAAAGACAAAACCTATCTACTTTAGACAAGGTATCATACTTCTCTTGTTGTTTCTTATTCCTTTTTTGGGGGCATGTGATATTTTATTTATTTGGGTTCCTCAGGATATTTGTTTTTTTTTTAAATAAATTTTTCTCTTTAGGTTTACCCTCTGCTTCACAGGCCTTTTGTACATTTTTCATTTTATTAATATGTTACCCCTTGCCATTAACTTCTGGAAAAAAATACTTACTACATATTTGGGTTTTCCAATATATTTGCAAGTAGAAGATACATTTGCAAATATTTGCAAGTAGAAGAGGATAAATCTTACCATGCTTGTAAGTTGATGGCTTGCATGTTTCTTCTGTACTTTTCAATCCTTAGCCAAGTGAGCACCTCCTCGTTCATGCCATTTTCCTCCAATCCTACTCTCTTGGTTTGATTGGAAAAGGGAGGGGATGTTTATTTTATGAGAAAAACATAAATTGAGAGGGTTCTCAATATTTCGGGTTGAAGGAGCGGCAAGCCATAGATTCTAAGATAGCGGGTGAGGGACTAGTGGGAGAAGTAGCTTAGGATGAAGGGAATCCAAAATTTTTAATTCATTTGTAAGGCAAATATTTGGATCATATTTAAAGAGAATATGACAACTCTATAATAATTTAAAATTTCATTAAAATTAGGATCAAGGGAAGTTGCTATGCTGAAGAATGAAGCTATTTTCTCAGATTTGGAGGTATTTGGCATTTTACCCCCTCGTATCCCTCAGATATCCCAATTGATCGTCTGCGAGGATTTAAGTTTAATCTCGCTTACAACCTTCCTTAAATCCAATCCCAGGTCTGAGCCTCACCTCAAATTAGTCACATGGGGTTGGTTGGGGGTCCGTCCTCTAGACAATCTTAAAAAAGAAAAAAAAAATCCAATCCCAGCTAACTACTAGGCATTTGAGTTCGTCTCAACTCCATCTTTGTCTCCATATCCATCTTGTCCATATGGCTAATCATACCATCTTGTTGAGCGTCCCCACATTCACTTCTCTCCGATGCCTCCGGTTCATCTTCGATCTGGCCTCTGCCTAATTGAATCGACATCATTGAATTAACATTACCGAGCTCTTGCTTCTCAACGAAAGCTGAATCGATTGCTGCTATAGTTATCACAAATTGTTTGTTTATGGTCATTTTTATAAATCCAAATGTTGAGTTTTCCACATCCTCTACAAAATATTTGTCGACCCTTGCAAATGCACTTTTAACATACAAATTTCATATTTTTCCCAAGCAAAATTACAATGCATATTTGTGAAACTTTGCAAATAATAAATTTTCATTTTTACTAGATGTTTATTAAGAATCTGACTAATTCCTCATGTAACCCTGCTCCAGGCCCGTCCCCTACTCTCAAATGCTCTTGAGTCCGGTGATTTAGGAGCTTTGCCAGATTCCAGGCTTCAGAACAATTACAATATGCAGGAGATGTTCCGAATGATCGAAGCAGCTGCAGCTTGTGTTCGCCATTCTGCATCAATGAGACCTCGAATGAGTCTGGTAGCCTTTTTATTTTTTAAATTATTTATTATTTTTGGGCTTAATCACATTCAGAACACCTGAAATATTGATATTTTAAACTACCGAACCGATGTATTTATACGTGCCACAATCAAACTTTTGAGAATTTGATAAAAATGAGCGGGGCTTTTACAATGAATTTTTATATTTGAGTGAGAATTTGAAAAATAGGTGAAAGACGATGGGTTGATTTATAAATAGGAAGTTTTCGTTGGTCTGTATGTAAAGGTCCCCTTTTTTTCTATGAGCATTTACATACTAACCAACTAATTCCTATGTATTTACATATCTAACTTCAAAACTTCACTTTTTCTACCTCCGCACCACCTAAATCCTTCATATTACATAAAAAACACGACTATTTTTAACTTCGGGTCATTTACACCCTCTGCCAATGCATCGAACCTCCAAACTTCTTTCTTTTATACCTCCCAAGCCTTTCATATCGTATAAAAAAATTCACTATTTTAACATTTAAAATTGAAATACATGTTTTCATGCATATATAAATTGACATTTGATATGCAAATACATGGGAATTGAGCGGTATATATGTAAATCTTCCTTTTCCTTATTTAAATATTTATTTATTTTTATAATATTAGCTTTTATTACATTATTTGTTAGGTTGTGAGGGCTCTTGATATTTTAGCTGACATTGATTTGAGCAATGGCATCCAACCCGGGCGAAGCGAGCTATTTAACACCGGGCCACATTCTGAGGAAATCAGGATGTTTAGAAGGATGGCTTTTGGCAGCCACAACTTCAGCACTGACTTCACTCGTTCTACTTTGAAGAGTGACGCAGATTTCTTGTAAATAGTGTTAGATTTGTTTTCCTTTATTTATTTCCTTTTATTTTCTTTTATTCTTTGATGTATGATTGGGAATGTTTTGAGGATTCCCTGCACCATTTTTTCTTGGCTATATGTAAAGTAGTTTTTGTCATTATTTTTTTCTCTTTTATAATTATAATTAGACTTTTTTTTTTAATTCGTTCATTAGGGGTTTGTCTTGTCAAGCAGGTCTGTTTGGCTGTAAGTTTATTGAATTTGGAGTTCTGGATGATTTTTAATTTAATTTTGAATATTTTTTTCTTTTAAAAGTTGTTCTAAGATTTGTGTTATACTTCGAGATTCGATAAATTTGTTGATGAGCTATCAATTTGAAAATAGACTATTCTGTTGGATTAGTATTATTTTGCTATTGAGGAAAGTGGCCAAATAGTTTTTGGAATAGTTTGATGGAGTTATTTTAGTTTTGGAGTTTATATAAGAATTAAGTTCATTTTTAAATTTGATTGAAATAATTTTTTTTAGAAATTATTTCAGTTCATTTTAAAAAACTTTTAGAAATTAATACTTAATAAATTAGGATTAAAACCATCCTTTGCATAATCTTTTTTCTTTTCGTATCCAGCTTACCGCCTTCTCGCAACCCTTGCTCGTGTGTGTGTGTCTATTATTTTATTTATCTTTAAAAAGAGCTATCTCAAATGTTCTTAATAATTCGAGTATCATCCTCCATAAAGCGACTATCGCCAAAGGGGGGATTTGAACCCCAATCTCATGAGAAATTATTTCACACGGTGCACGTATCTAGCTTTATGTGCGAATTTCAGTAATATGTCATCATGTGTTTTATAACGGGCCCACCTAAAAAAAATTAAGTGAAACCACGGAGGATATTTGAGTGGAACCGTAGATGTTATTTGGGAGGGATATTGAGGGGTTATTGGGACAATAAACCCTCAATAACCACCCGATAAACTACGCGGTGCCACTCCAATAACCACCTCTATATTAACCTCTGCAATAAGCTCTAACAACCGTAGATGTTATTTGGGAGGGATATTGAGGGGTTATTAGGACAATAAACCCTCAATAATCACCTGATAAACTACGCGGTGCCACTCCAATAACCACCCCTATATTAACCTCTGCAATAAGCTCTAATAACTATTTAATAACCTCCGCGATTTCACGTCAATAATTCCACAATAACCTCAAAGTAGCGGCATATTATTGAAATCTGCGAATCCGCACGCAGAGCTGCGTACGTACTCTGTATGGAATAATTTCTCCAACCTCAGGGGGCTTACAACTGATATCACAGATGCCAACCAACAAGTAGGGGTATGCGGCGCTCACACCTACAAAAAAAAATAATAAAAAATAAAAAATAATATATATATATATATACCCACCCCATGTAACAGACAGGTGAATATAATATAATATAAAATATGAAGTTGCTCATGATTTTATGAGATCGCAAGTCTTCTACGTTTTAAAGGATCGGAGTGTCGTGCACAATTTATCTTAATTCGTTTATATGACATGGCAAGCCTATTTAGAAAAAAAAAACAGAAAATGTGACTTTTTACCAAATTAATTATGACATTTTATATTTTTTTAAAATAAAAGTAGCTGCTACTACCAAATCAATTTCTATCATGATAATTCGAGAAGCAAAGTTATAAAATAATTAAAATAATGGGAATTTGTTATATTTATTCTTTTTAGGGCTTCTGAATTCTTTTAGGACGTGAGGTCTCATATAATTTGAGAGGGACCTTAAAGGAGTGAGAAGAAGCTGAGGGATTTTACAGAGTTCTTTGAGGGTGCAAACCAGAGAGAGAGAGAGAGAGACGTCTCCTCTTCCCTCATTCATTTTAATTTATATACTCAGGAGCATATGTACAAAAAACTTGGTTATATGTTATGCAGTATGGAGCCTGATCAAACTCACCATTGACAAAACTCTTGGTGAGTTGTCATGCTGTTAATAAATGACGTTATCTATGCCGATAGACTGAAATTCTATTCCTTCTACCTCAAAGAGCTTCTCGTTGGGCTTGGTGAAGTAGCCAGCTGATTGTTAGTGAGTTCGGCGGGAAGGACCCACCAGCTTGTACGAGTATGAAATAAGAACGCAGGCAATATAGTCAAGTTTGGATTGAAGAACTTGTTGGAAGATCGAAGTGGGTTGATACATTCTAAGAAGTTCGGTGGTATGCTTACGTACTTCAGAGGTACTCATAAAATTCTTCTGGGCAATAAGGAGCTCTGCAACTTACCATTTCAAAAGGTACGATTAATGAATATTACTGATCTCACCAGCCAAGGCCACTAAATGTGTTGTTATTGGGCTCGTTCCTTCAAACATATTAGGCTTATTTAACATCTGGGCTTTCCCGTTGTTTAACAACTTATTTTTTGGAGTACAAGGGGATTACATACATTCCACCCAATTCCCATGTATTTATATATAAGATAACTATACTTTATTTTTAATTTATACTTCTTACTTTTTAACATCACAAAAAAAATATTACTATTTAAACTTTTAAAAGTGAAATACATATTTTCATGCACTGACAAGATGATATATATGTAAAAATTGAAGTTTACATGTTAGAATGTAAATACATAGGAATTAAGTGGTATCTATATAAATCACGTTGTTCTTAAAGCATTGTATCCTACAAAATTCAATGACATATCTCCAACTTACAACATAATTAAAGGGGGTCCAAATTTTTGGGACATGCACATGTGGATAAAACAATCATTAAGACATTTTCTTAAAAAGTTCTAAAAATAGGTTTCTACTAAAAGGTTTTTGAATGAACTATTGAATAAAGTATCTTGATGATTGTATCCTTTTTTTTGTATAGCTTTAGCATTGAATAAAATCCTTATATATACATGTATAAGTTGGTAGCAACTTATAGAAGACAACAAGTTTCTTAGATGAAAAGAAAATGAAAAGCCAAATATTCTTTATCGAGCTATGGTCAATGGTATGCTTGGTCATTGCCCTTATAAAATGATCTATTGAAGAGTAAAAAAAGTATGTATAAAAGATTGATAGATGATAGAAGTTGATCAATTAAAAAGATCAGATATTGGGTGACAATCAACAACATACATGCCTAATCGCTATACTTACAAGAGGGGGTCCAATGACCAAAAAAACGGTATTAGCTAGGCTTTATTGGTAGATAATCATAAAAAATTTACATGATTTACATAATAATTTATTAGGAATATTGCATGTCAAGCAATTGTTGATAACATGCTAGATTGTTCTTCTTGTAATATGGTAAATTGATGCACTAGAAGTTGCATTGGTGGTAAAGGATGTTTGATATTAGAAGGCATTGCATTATGTTTAAATGAGATTGTCTGATGTCAGACACAACTAATGGTTTGCCTACTTTTCCTCTTTATAAGATGGGGGGTTAAGAACAAAAAAAATGATATATGATAATGTTTATAGTTGTTGGTCCATGGTGTGTATTAGTGATAGTTAATGAATAAAGTTAAAGGCCAGGTGGCATAAGAGTTACTAGCATATTCCTCTTAATAGTTGAGGAAACCAAATAACCGTGAAGCCTTTTGTCTAACAGTGGTAGGTGGTCAACTGCAAACAATGATGATGGCATGCATCAATGCTGGTTAACAAACATCGGTCAGCATTAGTTAACGAATGCGTGTTGATATTAATTGATGATAGGTGTTAGAATTGGTCAGTGGAGGGCATTACTTCATGAAAATTATTAGTCGTGCTTAATGATGAATATTAACTGCTCATGACCAAATTTATAGTATTTTTTTAAGTCTTTGAATTCTCTATATCAAAAGTTTCTCTATAACTTTTACTTAATGTTTAAAATCATGTATAATTTATAATTTTCTAGAAGGGTATATAAGTCATTTCAAAAAAAAATGAAGCATTTCATCGAATGGCTTGAATTAATCCTCATTAATCATTTAGCGCATTTAGATATCACGATGCCTTTATGATGTAAGAATTAAATAATCTCAGACTCATCAATTTAGTTCATTGAGGTACTCATTATAAATATAAGCGCACAAAATTTGAAAGTTGCTTGGCGATCAAGATGTGTTTGTGAAGTTTTAAACTATATTTTTAAGAGTTTAAGTTCAATCATTATGGACTCGAATAAAGTTGTTCTTATTATTATTATATATTTTATCTTTTTTAGAGGTTGATTTCAATTTTAAGTTTGTTGAAAACGGAGTTTTAACGATCTTGAAGAAAACCTTAATTTTTTTTAAAAAATAATGCTTAATCAGATGAATTTTATTTGGAAATTTTAGTTGCCTCTATTTTCGATCATTAAAGTCCAAAATTCTTAAATAATAAAAAATTAAAATCATAATTTCAAGAAGGCCTTGCCACTCTTTAAGAGTTAATATGAACTCTTCAAAGTCAAGAACGAAGAAACTTCCTCTTGGATGTAAGTTTACTCTTTAGTAAAATTGACACATTATTTGGGACAAATTATTAAAAAGTGAAGTCCAAAGCTCCCAAAAATTATTCAAAGCTATATCAAAGACTTCGTTGTGCCTCAAATGTTCTAAAATTGAGTCTTATGTAATCCAAGAATGTCTTAAAAGCTTATTTTGTCCAAAAAAATAGGTTTTGTGACCATAGATGCTCATAGCATGATGCACTCGCAGACAACATGATTTTGACAAATCAGCGACGATCAATTCTGATGCTAATATGCAATAATCCGATGTAAAACAATATTAGCGCCGGAGTTGGGCTAGATTTATGGTCCACAGAAAAACAGACATCACAAATGCAAATAGCATCGATCGTGTCCGATGCAAACAAGCTGCATCAAGATTAGAATATGATATTGCCTGTGTTAGCCAATTTTGAGGCGACTCGTGGTGACATAAAATTTAACTATGGAATTTGTGTCCATCATTTACGCACGAAACTTGCACCGTTATTTGCTTCCACCATTTTTACTAGAGAGTTTAATTAGTGTTGGAATGTTTCGAAGGTATTACCATCAAGAATTTTTGATGCACCACCGACCGAAACCTATAGAAGATTAAAAAATATTTATATAAAAGAACAATCCGATTTTTACAACCTCACACAACAAATATCACAAA